CCCCAAAACCCCAAAACCCCAAAACCCCTTTCTGGCACTTGTTGATTGAATGTTACGTCAAAATATCTTTTTCAGGATCGTTTGCAAGAAGACTCTTATCAGTCATCTCGACATCCTGTGCTATCTCAAGCTCTACATCTTCTTTGTCTTTCAATGTATTGCCCTTGATAATCAAGCAGAGGCCAATGGTGATAATGCTTGCTCCAAAATAAGCAAAGCCACCAGGCATCCCATCCTGCCCGAATAGAACTCCGAGGATCTGGCCCACAAAGGGCTGAAGCAGAAACAAACTAGCCACTACACTTGGTGAGAAATAATCGAGCAGGAAGATATAGCTTCCGACTCCGAAGATTCCCAAGAAGAAGGAAATAATCACAGCTGAGAGTACAAAGTACTCTGGAGTGAGCCAGCCAAAGAACCCGTATGTTATATCACGAGAAAGCAGAAGAGTCCAGGACACATCAGTGAAAACGACATAATACGTAATATAAATACTCATTTGGATAAACCCAAAACAATGGAACACGATCATCGATGGGAGTACCTTGCATGCTCTTGCGTTGAAGATGTAAGAGGAGGCATATAAGGGCATGGCTGCTAGCCCATACAGGTCTCCTTTCAAGATATCAGTACTTCTACTTTTCTTCACAGAACTATGGTCTAAAAGTAATTAAGTTTCGGCTTTTTGTATGTCATATCAAAATTATGAAAGATTTGATCATAACTCTAAAGTGTAGAAATAGTCGAGACTTGTAGAATTCCAAAGAATTTTTGTATCTATGCGAAGCAATAACCAACATAAGCTAGGCTAAGAGTAAATAATCTGTTGTATTCTGGAGATGGTAAAATTAAGTAATTGTTGATACTCTTCAATTATTGGCTAATTTTAAAAATTGCAGTAGAGGTCATTGGTAAACTCTATCTTGTCTCTGATGGTAAGATATACTTGAGGATTGAGATATGAGTGTTCCGGCCTTCCTAATAGCTCTAATTCTTGGAATTTGAACTGCCTAGGTGACTTACCTTGTAGAAGTACAGCTATGCCTCAGATCACAATAATTGCTCCAAATATCTCTGCTTTGTGAACTTTGCTTCAGACCAACAAGTTAACAGCAATCAAGAAGAGCCCTCCAGAGTTACAGAGAGTAATAGAATGTGCTAAAATAGTATAATGCGTGCTAGTGATATAAACATAAGAACCAAGCGTAAAGCAGCAAGATCCAAGCAAGATATTCAAAGCAGTTTGATAAGAAAATACCTCACTTATTATAATATCAGCCTTATTCCTCATCCACACAAGTATTGAGATTGGCACACAATAGATGCAAGTTACGAAGTATCTCCAGATGCCAAAGGTTGGTATTGGCACATCATCATACATGTTTAAGAATACAGGAAGAGAAGAAGCAAATACTAGACCAATCCCTGCTAAAATAATCCCTATAGTATAATTTAAGCGAATTTCTTATTAAACAGCCAAAAAGTAGCTTGAGATAAACCTCCTCGAAGTTCGAGAAGAGGTAAAGAGAAGTCAATGGACATAACAGCAGCCAATATAACTATAAAAACGCTGCTACACCAAAGACAACAACTTTTCCATACCCCTCAAATTTACATAAATCAAGCTTAATTCTGATTGGCTTAAATCAATTTCACAGTTAAAAACCCACATCCTAACCCCCTTCTTCCACAACCCCTCTCTGTCCAAAAGTCCACCCAGCTCCCTCCATCCCACTTGTAGATTACCTTCTGTCAAATTCTTCTGCTTAGGTGCTACAGTTCCTTCTGAAATATCCATATTTTCACTTATAAAAGACACACTCTTAGCCATCTGTTCACCTAGGTTGGAATTTAGGTATATTTTTATCTGTAGAAATGAGGGCTTTCAAGTGGATAAATATGAGACGGGGTTTTGGGGTTTTGGGGTTTTGGGG